CAAATCAATAACCTCCTTCCTATTGCAAACCACAAAGGTAGGTTCGTTACCATGGTTTAGAGTATTCAGGTTCGAACTCACCAGAAATTCCATAAGGCTCTCTCCCCTTGGGTTAGTGCCGTTGCTCCCCCACAAGATGTGGTGCGCGTTGGCATCACACCCAATGCTGAGTTGCTTTTTCCTGCTAAAGCAGTAGTGTGTGATGTCCCTCATTTCCTTAGTTGGTGGTGGTCCATCCGAGTCATATGGAAGGTAGACTGAAGCAACTATCAGCTCCCTGCTGCCTTCTCGATATGGATATGTTATCCTTACCGCCGCTGTATCCCTTGAACAGAGCTCCAGCAAAGGCAAGGCATTAACATGATTCCTGATATAAACACAAGATCTTGCATTATTACTGGGTACAACAGAGTAAACTGTTCCCCCTTTATTATTTAAGCCCCTTATTTGACCCTTGTACAACCAAGGTTCCTGAGTAAGTGCTGTGTCAGCCTTACCCTCAGCTAGATGTTGACACAGAGCTTCTGTGGCAGCTTTGCTGTGGTGTAGGTTGATTTGGAGAAATCTCATGATCTCTTCCAATTGAGGAGGTATCAATTTGCCCGTTGTAACTGCCATTTAGTGGCCCCCGACAAGGGTTTCTTCGCCAAATGGGGTCCACCTATTCCACCTATTGGTGTCCCAGTCTTTCCCCTGCTACAGGTATGTTGGAAGTACTGGCTCCCTGCAGTGGTATGCCAGTACTAACGGCTCCCAAGAGACCAGTTTTTGGTTTTGCCTCTGGTAGGTTTTGAATCATTGGTTCATCCCTGTCTTTGGCTGAAATTACAACAGTAGGTTTGCCGGTTGCTTCTGAGCCCCTTAATGGTTCACCAGAGATTCCAGCCCCCTGCTGAAGCATTTCTCATAAGGATCCCCTTAAAGGGGGGTTCCTCTTAAGTTTAAGGTCCTTACGACCGGTTTTCTTGTTAGGTCCCTTTTTCATTTTGGTCCCATGAGAGATGGGGATTTAAAAGGTCACCACCCGCAGAGCCCCATACGGGTGGAAGGCATAAATACAACGGGGTGCTGCCTGGTGCCCCGAGGGGATCGTTCATGACTCCGGCCAATAACCTCCCTAGTGCCATGCAGCCCTCGGCATGATGCCTCACACCTTGG